GTTTTAAACTAAGCGCAATGTCGCCGCGCCGTGCGTATTTATCCCGTTCAAAGCAATCCAGATCGTTCTCGAACACTAACGCGCTGGTCCGGCTGGTCGGTTCTAGCCGATTCTAGCTTGATGGCGTCAGCGGCAGATCGCTCACCGCAACGTTGCCGCTGTTTATGTTTAATATTATGACAATTAGATTTTTTTGTGGAATTTTCGGAAGCTTCTCTGATTTTTGCAGTTTATATTTTTTAAATTAAAATCGTTGTGAGAGCTACCAGAATTGCCTCCGCGAGCTACCGACAGGTTGGCGACCACTGCCATAGGTAATGCAGCTGCTAGACTGAGTCATGGCCAGTGAGAAGACGCTCCCTCAAAATGTGCAGTAGATGTGTACAAATCTGTTATCAGTCTGTTACATTATTCGAGCCGTTAACATACAAATTCAGGACCTTATTCTATTGGTGATGTTAATACATTCTTTGTCATACACACCGACCCAAACTTTACACAGATACAATTTCTCCCACTGGCCAAGACTCAGTCCAGTAGCTGTACATACAGTGCATTTCTTTAATGTCACTCCCCCTTTTATTTTTTGAACGGGACAACTCAAAAAATTGAAATTTGGGATAATGAAATTAATGCAGGAATACTTTATTTTGAAGTGAAATTGACAGATGAAACTTTCAAGATGGCGACTGGGCGCCATCTGGGAAAAAAATCAAATGGAAAGGGGGGTGTCGTGATACATCCTTTTAAATCTCCTGACAAATGCTAGAATTTAATGTCAATATCTTCAACTACTACAAAATGGCGGAACTTTTAATAATTACCTGAACACATTGACATTTAACCACATAATATGAATATTACTGGAGTTTTTTCCCAACACCAAATCGTTATTTTTAACACCTCGACACGTGTTTCGATCACCAAGTGATCATCTTCAAGAGGAAGATTAATCTTCCTTAAACAAACGTTAAAAATAACGATTTGGTGTTGGGAAAAAACTCTAGTTATATTCATTACTACAACAAAAGTTCCAAACAGTGCATCATAAGTACATACTATGAGGTAATAAGCTCGAGGTCAGTTTAGAAGATGCTCGAAATGGTTGCCTTGAACTTCTTGACATAGGAACAGTCTATCCGATATTTCACTCCGAACATTTTCGAACACAGTAACGTCAATATCTCCACAAATATTTATTATTATCTGCCGTATATCCAATATTGAAGCAGGTTCAGTTTCGTACACCTTTTGCTCCAAATAGCCCCATAAAAAAAAGTCCAAAGGTGTCAAATTTGGCGAGTGGACTGGCCATTCTGTAGGACCTCTATGGCTCTAGAGGTCCTGCAATATGGTTTCCCAATATTCTGCCCAAACGTTATTTTTTTTGGATATTGGGTATGCGTTTCCCGGGAAACGTGAGGGTTGGTGCGTCACTTAAACAAATATTGTGGAGATAAGTAGGATGCCTTGCAATGGTTTCCGTCATGATTTTGCAGAATTCTATTCTTCGATCAGGGTCATCTTCAGTTAATTGGTGTCCAAAGGTGTCAAATCTGGCGAGCCGGCTGGCCATTCTGTAGGACCTCGATGGCCAATCCAACGATCGGGAAAAGTAGTATCTAAATAGTTTCTTACTTGTCTGGAGTAATGTGGTAGTGTTCCATCTTGTTGGAACACAATATCCATATCGAATTCATTAAGATTCGCTTCGACGATTTCAGTGATGAGGGGGTAAATAGTAGTTTCCAGCATATTCAAATACAGTTCCCCTGTTGAATTTTGATCAATAAATAGAGGTCCTACAATATCATTTCCCAATATTCCTGCTCAAACGATATTTTTTTTCTGGATATCGGGTATCTGTTTCCCGGAAAACGTGAGGGTAGTTGTCACTTTAATAACGGCAATTTTCTCTGTGAACATTGCCGGAAAAAAATGTAGAAGGAGACACCTCACAAATATATGCGATGGAATAAGTAGACTGTTCAGGATTTACTACCATCTCACCAATTATTTGCACTTGCTGTTCTTCCGGAATGGACGGATGACCTGGGGGCTTTTTGTTATGTACACTACTGGTAGTTGTGAATTTGGATACAAGTTCCCTCAAATACTTTCTACAGATAAAACGATCCGTAAAACGTTCATTGAAAATTCTTTTGGTCTCGTGAATGAAAATAGCTTCAATTTTTTCTTCTGATGGACGGGAATTGACCATTCTAGAGATTGTTGACGTGGTACCTTTCTACTAGTAAAACCGGAAGCAGCTAGTTAAATATAATCAAGTGACATCCAGTATTTTAAATGTTATTTCAGGAGTCCTTCAAGGGTCAGTGTTGGGTCCACTGCTATTCTTGCTATACATAAATGATATTGTGATACATGTTAAAAGGTGTGAGATAAAACTGTTTGCCGACGACACTATGTTGTACTGTTTTGGGACAACAAATGAAATCTCAGAATGTTTGAATGAGGAACTATCAAATATAAACGAGTGGTTATGTGACAACGGCCTCAAGTTAAATGTTAATAATTTAATTTTTTTTTGCAGATAGCGCCCAGTCGCCATCTTGAAAGTTTCATCTGTCAATTTTACTTCAAAATAAATTATTCATGCATTAATTTCATTATCCCAGATTTCAAATTTTTGAGTTGACTGTTCAAAATATAAAAAGGGGGGAGACATTAAAGAAATGCACTGTATTAATCAAATTTATCAAAAAAAAAATAAAAAGAACAACAATAATACATTGGGAAAACGCCGAAGATCAAGTCATAGACAGACCTCTGTTATTATTCTTAAGCGTAAGGTGATATAATAGTGAAACGAGTAAAAATAATAGAGAAAAATAAGAAAAGAAGAGATTTCTTTTAATTTGGCAAACACGTATATTTATGTGTATCTACTTACATCTTCCTATCAACACATATACAATTTTTCGAGAACAACACAGTTTATCAATCTAATTTACACTTGTACTTGATTGTTCATTATCAAAAAGATGAGTTTTAATTTTTTTTTTTTTTGAAAACCTGTTCACTCAAAATCTTTGTAAATCTTGGGGAATTCAGTGAGACACTCTTTAACGTGAGGTAGTTTAGGCAATAGAGATCTTACATTTAAATGACCTATCTTTATGTATTCCATACTGTCCGATAATACAATTATAAAGTCTTTCGAATCATCAGCTAGTCTCTTCTCAGAATTATCTTCTTTTTCCCCTTTTGTATGAGAAGCTTCGTTGGTTGCTTTTCGCTATTTGAGGTCTTCGAAACCGAACTAATTTCCATCCACAATTAACGTTTTATCTTTGGGTATGGCTGAAAGACCGCTGGTTCTTGGTTATTTCAGTTGCGAGACCAAAACTTGATTCCTTTTTGATAATCTTCGGGAATCAGACCCAGAGATATAAACAAAGCAGTGCCCTTGAGTTCTTAAGCCTTATTCAAATCTTCTTTTTTTATTCTACTATTGTGAAATACTACGACTGGTCTAATTCCTTCAGATCTGCCTATTCTATATGCGACTGGTCTAATTCCTCAGATCTGTCTATTCTATATGCATCTCTGATATCACATTCTTGGATGTCTATTTTGAGTTTATTCCAAAATATTGACAATAGCGCTATGTTTAAATCAGTTTCACTTTCTTCCAACCTGTATTGTACTTTTTTAACTTCCTCCACTTGTTTGTATTCTAACTTGTAATAGATCTTGCTTCTTTCAAATCCTCATTTTCTTTTATGAGATTTATTATTTCTTCAGTTACCTTCGTTTTGAAATCCTTGAAATCTTTTGTTAAAGTATTCATCTGACCTTGTGATGCACTGTTTGGAAACTTTGGTGTAGTAATGAATATTACTGGACTTTTTTCCCAACACCAAACCGTTATTTCAACACCTCGATACGTGTTTCTATCACCAAGTGATCTTCTTCAAACTGATCTTCCTCTTGCAGCTGCGGCAGTTATCTTTAGTGGCGTGGCGAAGTACTCTTCTTGACGTATCAACCGGAACTGAAGCTGTCGTGTCTATGTTTTTATACTGCTGATTTTCCGCGCACATTCTGTAATGGCGGGTTCGCACGTACTTCCCGCGCAATTTGGGTGACATGGCTTAGTTTTGGCGCCTTTCAATACTGTGTGCCAGATCTTTGCTAGTTCTCTTGGTGTTTATGTATTTCTATGGCTTCTAAATATATTAAACACCAATAGAACTTCAACAGAAAGCAAGAGAGGTCATTTAAAGGCGCAAAAACGAAGCATTGTCAACCAAATCGCGCGGGAAATACGTGCAAATCCCCCATTACAGACAGTGGGCGGAAAATTAGCACGATAAAAGACATGGTAGGAATGAGAGTTTCAGTTTCAGGTGATACGTCAAGAAGAGTACTTCGACCACGTTACCGAAGATGACAGCCGCAGTTGCAGCCGAAACGTTTGGAGATTGTAACCAAAAAAGACCACGACAAAACCCGGAAACCAACCACAACAAGATGTTACCTCTAAATCCGTATATTTCAAGTTTTTGACGCAATATTTTGTGATATACACAGTCGAATGCTTTTGTCAGATCATTAAATACTGCCACTGCAGCCTTAAAGAAAAGTAAACATTGCATCATTTGTGCTCTTAGCTTAGCTATATTGATTGCAGTGAAGAATATGATTTTTGTCAAGAACATTTAGTATATGGTTCTGTAGCACAGCACTTAGGCCACATGTGACCCATTGTATATCTTCCCGAGGAGTTGTCCTCCTAGGTCATCGCCCATCCCGTTCATTCCAGGAAGGTGGACAGGTCATTAGGAAACATCTCCTTTATATTGGCAGGTGTAGGTCAAGACTCGCCGAACACACACTCTCTTCGGCAACCTTGAGGTGTCTCACGGTGGCTTCCGCGAAGGTTTTGGAAGGTGCAGCGATATTACTGTCGTTGCGCGGCTTTTTCAACCTTCTTGGGGTTCTCTCCGTGGAGGTGCACAAGTTAGGGAGCTTTCCTGTAGGGGCAGCCGGTTCCTTGCCTTTATTCAAGGCGGAGGTCTTGGTGTCTGCCGCAGGAAGTGCCCTTGCTGTTGGAGGTGGAATGGGGAGGAAGCGGGTGCACTTATAGTTGCTGCCACTCCTGCTTCTTTCGCTCTGTTTCTACTTTTGGCATCGGCGCCGCAAATTCGTTTACGCCTTGGCCTTTGTATTACATCACGAGGTGATCCGCTATGTCCAGCCTCATTCCAAGCGATAGATTGGGGTGGACATTTCTGTTCATCCCCAGCCACCGGTTTAGATTGAGGTGAGCATTTCTGTCCAGCCTCAGGATTGGTTTTTGTTTTTGTGTTTGTTTCATTTATGTGTATTCCCACGAGTAGCAAGGGAAGAGTTAGTCACCTCAAGCAGAGCCCCGCATTACCAAAGTTTCGCCCTGTTCAGGTAGAGTTGGCAGTAAAGTAACGATATCTTTTCCAGGATGTGTACAAGATGTTAGAATTGGAAATCAGCAGGCTACTCTGAATAGGCCTACCGTGAAAGAAAATGTTGAAGACGGTTGCTTCTCCTTGAATGAATGTCAAACAGAGTGTCCTGCTTCTTCTCAGTGCATTATCGACTGGGGCCGTTCCCACTGTGAATGTAACGAAGGTTATGTAGGGCCATTATGTGCTCCGGTGTGCCAGGAAAATCCCTGTCAAAATGGGGGTACATGCATCGAAGATCACGGGGAAAAGAAAGGATACAGGTGCGACTGCAATTCTACTGTACTCTCGGGTGAGTATTGTGAGAGTAAACAGTCACAGCCTTGTCCTGCCAGCTGGTGGGGATATCCTGTATGTGGGCCTTGCCAGTGCAACACAGAAGCTGGTTACAATCCAGATTGCGACAAGAAAACCGGGAAGTGTCACTGTAGAGAAAACCACTACCAGCCCAAGGAATCTACAGAATGCTTACCCTGCGACTGTTACAACGTCGGGTCCTACAGCACTCAGTGTGATCACGAAAGTGGACAGTGCAAATGCAGAGACGGGGTTATCGGATTGAAGTGCGACTCTTGCCCAAATACCTATGCGGAGATAACTCTCAAGGGTTGTGAAGGTAAATGGTCACTCGAAAGAGGACGCCAGTGGTCAAAAATTAAAATTATTCTTTGTAGTCGTTTACGATGGATGTCCACGATCTGCGTCGAATGATATTTGGTGGCCCAGAACAGTATTTGGATCTAGCGCTATCGAAACTTGTCCTAGAGGATCCCACGGGAAAGCTTCTAGAAGCTGTGACAACGATTTGGGTGGTTGGCAAGAACCGGATATGTTCAACTGCACGTCTGAAAGATTTGTTGAACTTCGAGAACAGGTGAGTTATTACAGAATTTTCTTCAGAACGCAGAAGTTGATTTTTCTTTGATACTAACTTTTTTAAGAACTAAAATTAGTTTTTCAGATACACAGTTTTCATACAGTGCATTTGTTTAATGTCCCCTCCCCTTTATTTTTTGAACAGGTCAACCCAAAAAATTGTAATTTGGAATGATGAAATTAATGCATGAATACTTCCTTTTGAAGTGAAATTGACAGATGAAACTTTCAAGATGGCAACTGGGCGCCATCTTAGAAAAAAAATCAAATGGAAAGGGGGTCTTGTGACACATCTTTTTGAAGCTCCTGACAAATGCTTCATAACCCTAGAATTTATTGTCAATATCTTCAACTACTACAAAAGAGCGGAAATTTTAATAGCCTGACTACAATGACATTTAACCAAATAATATGAGGTAATAAGCTTGAGGTCAGTTCAGAAGATGCTCGAAATGATTGCCTTGAACTTCTTGGACATATGAACAGCCTATCAGACAGACAGACAGTAACGTCAATATCTCTATAAATATTTATTATTCTCTGCCGTATATCCAATATTGAAGCAGGTTCAGTTTCGTACACCTTTTGCTTCAAATAGCCCCAAAAAAAAAGTCCAAAGGTATCAAATCTGGCAAGCGGGCTGGCCATTCTGTAGGACCTCGACGGCCAATCCAACGACCGGGAAAAGTAGTATCCAAATAGTTTCATACTTGTGTAAAGTAATGTGGTGGTGCTCCATCTTGTTGAAATACAGTATCCAGATCGAATTCATTAAGATTCGCGTCAACGATTTCAGTGATGAGAGGGTCATCAGTTGTTTCCAGCATATTCAAACACAGTTCCCCTGTTAACGTTAATTTTTTATGGATATTGGGTATGGGTTTCTCGAAAAACGTGAGGGTTGGTGTCGCTCCAATAACGGAAATTTTGTCTGTGACAATTGTCGTTTGAAAAAAATATAAATTCGTCACTAAAACAAATATTGTGGAGATACGTAGGATGCCTTGCAATGGTTTCCGTTATGATTTCGCAGAATTCTGTTCTTCGATCAGGGTCATCTTCAGTTAATTGGTGTACCA